CCGTTCTACGTGAACGGGCTGGTTCACCCTCGCGTCCCACTGACGCCGCCATCCCATGGCTCAGAGCTTGGTGGGGGAGGAAGAGCCGAACGGCTAGCTGATGTCAGCCCCCTCACCATCCGCAAAGAAGTCGATGACTTCCTGTCTACCGGACTGAGTGTCCTACGACACATTCGCGATGCGATGGCTGGAAGCCAAGACATGCAGAAAGAGTATGCAGACGGAAGAAGCAGAAGAAAAGTTGATAACCTTAACGTCGGAGATCTGCTTTTTTTATGCTAAAAGCCTTCCAACACATGCAGTCTCTGCTGCCTTTAAGACGAAGCTCCGTCCACAGTCTATTGGGCCTTTTAAGGTCGTGGCCAAGTGAGGCCTTGCGCATACGCTGAACCTATCGATAAGGATGCGCACGCACACGGTGTTTTATGTGGGCTTTCTTAAGCTGTACCGGGATCCGGCGCTCGGCCACCCAGAAGCTGAACCAGAACTAGTTCTGAGCACGGAGTGCAACAATTTCAATATACAGCGGCACAAGGCGCTCCACCGTAACGTATTTGTCTGCTCGACAGTCCGACAGAGCGCGATGGTCCTTAACTTGAGGCAGTCGTCGCACAAAGTGCTCTACGCCCTCAAGGTCTTCCGAACTGCGGTATGTGGCCTTGGCAAGATGCTCAGCGGAGTGCCGATGATGGCGGACTTCGTTTTCTAAGATCGAAGAGCATCGCGAATCACCGGACGGCGATCGATCAAGTCGTCATTGTCCGCCGCCGACAGGGGACAGAGCTCCGAGCTGCCGGGGAGCATACACTTCGACGGTGTTTTGTCTGTGGAGACACCCGTAACCTTCAGAACGGCTGACCCCTGCGCAAGGCGCGTCAAGGTTCTTCGAACCATCGCTCCAACGCCTACCAGTCTAATTCGTCGCGGGGAAACGACACCACCCAAAAGGCGCGGGGCGACCTCTTCCCGACGAGGATGGTGGCATCCACTATCACATGGAACGTCTTGTGGGTGGACGTCATCGACAGAATATCTTATGAAGTGGCTGGGATACCTAGACTCCGAGAACTCTTGGTAATTTGAGGTGCCACTTCGGCAAGACTGCCCATATGTCGTGGACGCTCATCATCAGAGGGAGCGTTCCGCGTCATCGTACGTCCTTTGCTTTGCAGCAATACTCAGGGAAGCAAACGGCCATGAGCTGAGCTCAAGCCAAGGCCCTGAGCTGCTGTGGTCGCAGACTCACCCATATTAGAGGCCACAGAGCTCGCGGGAGCGTTGATGGATTGATACATAGGTCGCAGAGCGACAATTCGAAGGAAGTCAGCGATGCGCCTTGAGTTTGGCAAACTCAATTCCAAGATGGAACCCCACGCGCATGTCCACCTCCATGTGGCTTCGTATTAAGTTGGACAGCGAGGGAAGTTTTTGGTGCTGCTGCACCCGTCGCTCAAAGAGAATTTCATCATCTGCGGCGGATTCACCAGAGTGAACACCACAGGAATCGTACGCATCGCGTGTACAGGAAGGCCTTCTCGTTGAGCCCGAAGTTGAGCGCGATCAGGAAGCGAGCTCGGAAAGCTTTTTGTTGGGCAAACCCAGCTTGTGTTGTGACCAGGGGACCAATTATCTAGACACCCAACCGCGTCGTTCGCTTCACTAGTGGGATCCGCCGAGCATAAGCCGTATCCCACACGAGGGTCTGGGACCGACCATGGATGCGAGCGCATGAGTGCCGCCCTGAAAGCAGCCTCCAGCCGCTGCTTCTATGCCTCGTCGAGGCGATTGGTGATGATACCACTGATTAAGGTTGTGAATTCTCTTGGAGTAAGAGGATTGCGATCTGCTACACTCGTACTGGTTCTAAGTATAGAGAGTAAAGTCGGTGAGTTTTGCCTAGCTTCCTCTAAGCGAATGAGCTACAGCAGCCCCCGCTTCAACGCTTTACCGTTTTTTGCGCTTTTTCTCACAATAAGTTTTACAGTAAAAGCATAAAATTGCTCAATAACTATAATATATATTTCAAAAGAAATCATTCGATTGCTGTGTTCTCATACGACGTACAAGTATGACACCTTATGCAAGGGTAATGTATGCACCTTCACTACCATTCAGTTCGCTCTCTAATTGAAATGATAGTTTAGCCTCATACTAGTCATTAAGCTAACAATTGCGATTATCCAGCTATCGACACCTATGTAATTGCGCCTTTCATTTCACAATTAATGCAACTAATTGGTGTTTCTCAATTATTTGCTGTAAATCAAATGTACACGTCAATTGTACCTTCATATACCTCATGCCTCTGAATTTGCACTGACGTTGACCCCCCAGCTTTGAATTTTAAAGCCATCAAATAACTATGAAGGAGCACGATTGAATATTTAGCTTGAAGCTCTTGCTGAACAAGAACGTCTCCGCTTCTAAGGTTTTTAAGCGGTTGGTCAGAAGTCCTTCCAGGGTAGAAGACCAACAGTGTATAAAGAGGAAATAATGGTACTCAGTCTGTTGGTGCCGTGTCGTTACACAAATGACATGCCTTGAGTACTGGGCTCTCACTGAAATTCTGGGTGACTACACCTTTCGTGCCGTCACTGACAGTCTCAATGATTGAAGAGACCCTAGCTACAGGGCAACATGGAGCCCATCCGGCTTGTGTGACTCTTACCCAAGCGCTATCATACTCTCCTCTAACAACAGAAAGTACGACTGGACTTGATCCTTTTACTACCTCAGGTGTGTAGACCCAGATCCACATTTGAGTCCCTGCTCTGAACTTGACCTTAAGATCAAGAGGCAAAGCTCAAGAATTGACTCCGTTCGGCTATAAAACCAGAGCTAAAGACGCGGATTGTAAGTGCGACTGCAAAACCCCCAAGTTTTCAAAATTTTAGCTAGATCCTGAGATGAAATGTCAGTATCGTAATAACCAGTCAAAAGATTTTCAAATATTCATTATTTAACAATTAATCTACTGTACCATTCCCAAAACATTACAGATAACCTATTAGCGTCCACGCAATTTAAATCTCTTAATAAAGTGAGACATTACCCTGTCTAGCACTTCTGTTGGCCGATTATCATCAATTTGACCTGCAGATTGCAAGTAGCTTTTTGGACCGCCATAGCGATCGAATAGAGCTTCAGCGTGCTCTGGCATGAAAAAATCTTTTTTTGAGGCACTCAGAAAGAGACACGGAAGTGTGAAGGTTGGCGCTGCGTCAAGCAATCGAACGTCACGAAAACTAAAATTTCCAGCCTTTTCAACTGAATTTGTCAGAATTTTCTGCGATGCAGTAACCATCGGAGACGGAATGTATAGACGACGTCGCTCCGCACTTCTAGTTATCATCTGCAGCATATCCCAAATCACTTGCTCCATGTCTCCGTACGCACTATCAGCGGTCAGCGCAAAGATAAACGACATGCTTGGAGTTTTGCTGGATGAGCGTTTTCGGTATCCCTGCAAATGAGCTATACCGCCATTTTTGGTGCAGCTCCGACGAATAAGTTGATAGCATGCCACTGGATCTAGTCCTTGCACAGGAAAGTTATCAATGGCAAGCAGGACAAAGTCACCGTGCGCTGCACAATACGCGCTGAAACGAAAATGAAGACCTTTGACCAGTGGGATACACAGCAACTGTTGTTTTTCTTTGTCCTCCACGACATCAAGAGTCTTTGCAGCCTTACTCGTAACAGTCATTGTCTCATACTGATATGGCATGCGCTCCTTCACATGCAGCAACGCTGCTACAGATCCGATGTCACGTCCCCAAATCCCAACAGCTGACGCACGGCCTGTAGCATACAAATAATCCACAACTATACGCAAATCGTCCTGTTCGAAGTATCCAAATGATACACGATCACCACCAGAAAGCCCCGATCCGGACAAATCCAGTGCAAAGAGCGAGAAGCCCGACGCAAGCACTTTACGATGCAAGTAGATGCACTCTTGACGTGAGCTGGATAAGCCGTGGAGATACACAATGCACGGATCTACATTCATTAGCTGTGTCTGCAGACTGCTCCGTCTGAAATTGCAGTCTGTGCCGGATGTTTTAGCTGGCAGCTTCCCAGCGAAACAATCTTTCACCCGGTTTTTTTCGTCACTGTCTAGCGTTGATGTCAATGAAGGACTTGCGACTCTTGCGACTTTTGCAATATGATCTCCATCTCTCACAGCCCTACGACGCCAAAAACTGCAGACTAAGTGCTCTCCTCGTAAATTTTTCAGTTGAAAGTCTTCGCGCACAAATTCCTCGTCCTTTTTGTAAAGAGTGTCAAGCCAAAAACTTTGATCGCCAAGCTCCCGAACCGAATAATTAGCTCGTACCGGGCGAGCGATAGATTGCACAACCTCTTCGTATGTCTCATTAAATAGATTCCACCAGCTGCTGAGACTGTTGGCATTTAGCTCGCGCTTGTGAATCTAGCACCAAGAAATTTATAATAGAAGACTGATGTTAGAGCAGCCTAGATACATCAAATGCATACAGCTTGAAGTTGAGGCTTTACTGAGAAAATGAGCACACTTACTTCGGCTTCAAGTTCACCGTCTTGAAAGATTTCCATGGCAAGAGATCACGTTATTGCTGTGGTCTTGGAGAGTGGCGTGTCGAAAGTACCAGAAATTTTGCTTATACATCTGTGTACTGTAGAAAATTGAAGATTGTTGTGTTGTCCTCGTAATTTTTAAAGCAAACTATGCTGAAAGCTTTTATAACTATTTTGAGACATGTCTCTTCGTTGTGATGTACTATATTTAGAGCCAGTCCAACTCAAATAGTATTGTGAGAATTAATTTGTTAAAGACAAGTTTGTTGGTATTTTTTTTGCATCTTAATCAGTTGCCGTCTCTTCAAAAAAGTTCGTGCCAAGTAGCTCCTCCGGTAAATATGTTTGATTTTTTACCTCTTCCGCAGAATAGTGCGGGTTATACTTGTACTCTTTCCCGTAACCTAAACTTTTCATCAATTTTGTAGGAGCGTTACGAAGATGCAGCGGAACGTCCGGCAGTGCGCCTTTCTTCCACTCTCGAATCGATCGTTTTGTTCGTTTATACGCAGCATATACCTCGACAGACTTTGGTGCACGCGCTAACATTGTCGCAACATGGGCAAGAATGACATCACACTCGGGCATCCCAATGAAGTGAGCCGCTTGATATGATGATACAGCCAACGGGAGCAATTCAGGAGCTGCAAGACCGACATCTTCACTTGCAATTCGAATAAGACGCCGAGCAACGTACAGCGGATTTTCACCACCTTCAAGCATCCGAGCTAGCCAATAGAGCGTTGCATTTTCATCACTGCCACGGATCGATTTGTGTAGTGCACTGATGCAGTCGTAATGCATATCCGCGTTTCGATCGTAAGAGAACGGTTGTCGATGCGAAAAGCAATGCTGAACATGGGTACAAGATACCCGCAGAACATGGTTTTCTGGGTCAATAGGAGCGGTTTGAAGTGCCATCTCCAAACAATTTAGTGCTACTCGGGCATCACCGGCACATAGGGTAGCTATGTACTTGATTACCCCGTCTTCAACGTCAATAAGCGCTCGTTCAAATTTTTTGTCGCATACAGAATCAGCGTTCGTCAAAGTTTCTGACTCTTGTGCTCGTGTCAGTGATTGCACACCTCCAGCGGAATGATCCCGCAATGCACGTTGAAGAATTTTTTCAATAGATTCTGCTGTATGTTTTTTGAGTATATACACACGACAGCGACTTAACAACGCATTGTTCACCTCAAACGACGGATTCTCTGTGGTCGCGCCGATCAAAGTAATCGTGCCATCTTCTACCGCAGGCAAAAAGAAGTCCTGCTGACCTTTGTTAAGGTGATGAATCTCATCGACAAAGACGATAGTTCGTCGACGCAAAAGCGTCTGCTCGCTTCTAGCTCGATCCACGGCGTCCTTCATGTCCGCAACTTTTGACGTCGCGCCTGATAGGCTGATGAACTTGCAGCTCGTCCGCTTGGAGATTACATGAGCCAACGTCGTTTTACCACACCCTGGGGGTCTGTGTAAGAACCGAACCACAGCACAACGTTATCTCGTATATTCTGACAAAACATTGCATCTCATCAAGGCAATTGTTACCCCCACAAAATCATGTTAGGCACTCGATCAACCTGGATCAGGGAGGAAAGTAGCTTTCCAGGACCAAGCAGCTCTTCTTGACCCACAACATCATTAATTGCTATAGGTCTCATCCTCTCTGCCAGTGGAGTTGCTGACACATCGTGAAGTTGCGACCACTTGCGCTTCTTAACAGCGGAAGGCGAGGGGGACGAAGGCGGTGGGCTGAAGCCAACAGCTTTGCTGGCTGTTGAGTTCCTGGGCTCAGCTGATGGCGGCAGAAAGGGTGACGATTTCGTAGCTACTTCGTGCTTGGACAAGCAATCCTCCACATGCAACGTGAGATTCATAGAGCGCACATGCCGCGAGCAGATTGGACACTTGGTTGTGGCCATCACTAGCAAATAAATGTTTTTATTATTTTTAGTGTTTGATGTTATATTTTCCCTCCTAACAGGCATCTAGTCAATAATTGGTCCTGCGTCGAATTCGTGTAGAAAATCACGGTCCTGCGTCGAATTCGTGTAGAAAATCACGGTCCTGCGATAAAGTCACGTCTTCATCCTGCAACAAATTGACAGTCAGGACATTATCTTCTGGAATTGCACGGTACTTGCGAAGAAACCGGTGACGACCCAATTTACGAACATTTGGTCGCTCTCCAAGTTTCCGACAAGCACAATTCCCCGACTCCGTTGTCCCGTTGCTTCCGATATCGACAAACGCTGAGGTGCCGTCATTCGGAGGCGAGTCGGACGTAGTGTTGGTTTCCCATTCATCATTCTGGGAATTTTTAGACCATACTGGATGTGTCGTCAGAGGATGAGAGGAAGGCGAATGCTGCCGTTTATGCCATCTGGGAGACTGTACAAGCTGCGAGGATATCAATTCTCCCACTTTCGACCCTGGGCTGTGACTTGCAAACTTGCAGCCAGTGTCACTTCTGCATGAGTGTTCGTCGAAAACAACAAAGGGCTGGCGGAGAGTAGTATTGACTTCATCAAAGTAAAACATGGCATTATTGCACTTGAAAGACTGCGAATGTTTAACATGGTGCATACAGCCAGCGTTCATGAACATGTTGCCTAAACGAACGCCTTCGCCAACCGTCGCCACAGCTCCAATGTCTTGCATCTTCTTCGTCGCCTGTTCGCCAGAAAAGCTCCTGATAATTGTCCCCATGCCACTACTTTTAAGCATCGTCGACTCAAGCTCCATTGCCTCACACATGCCAAGGGCGAAAACATTGCAAATCTCGTCTTGAATTCGTTCAAGAGCTTCAACGATCTCCTGTGCAGATGGACGCAAACGAGCGTCCACTTGCCAAGATGTCATAATGAGGTCCGCTAGACCAACGTGCAATTGACTGTCGAGCTTAGGGCGCATACCAGCTATTACCGACTCGAGGACTCGTAGATGGTTGTTGTTTGTATTTGGGTATTTTTCAGAACTCGGATTCAAGATATCCCACATTGTGATAGCCAGCGAATAAACATCAGCTGATTCGCCATACGAGGCAAATCCTGCTCGACCATTGATAATTTCCGGTGCCATGTAATCTACTGTTCCCTTTACAGTCATTTCTGGGGCTGTCTTACGAAGCGTTGGTATTAATTTCTCATTTGGAAGGTCTGACAATGTCGTTGGGATCGCTCTATCGCCCTGTGTGCTAGCGTTGCCGCTCCGACTGGAACCTGGATACTGTTGATAATGCGCTGCGTCAATCGAATGACTGCTCGTGGCAGCAACAGTATCTAGGGCTGATATCGAAGCATTTGCGACGGCTGTGTTCTTGGCATCATTTAGGCTGCTTCCCTCCCATGTAATATTAGCCTTGGGTAGACTGCGGGACTCGCCGAAATCAGTGAGCTTGACGTTCCCATCGACATCCACTAAAAAATTACTCGGCTTGATGTCACGGTGCACAAAAGCTGGAGAAAAGCTGTGCAAATATGCTACAGCTCTTGCAGCATCAATCATGTAGCCAAGGTTTAAAAGGAACTGTTGGCGTCGTGGCTGTAGCTGTCGTGTCATTGCTTGAGTAACAACATCGAGACTACCTATACATAACTCTGAAACCAAACAGATGGTAGGGGGCGAGACACACATGCCGTAAAACTTGACAATATTTGGATGATTAAGTGCACCGCAGAGAGCAGCTTCGTGAGAGAATTCCGCTACCGTGTCTTCTGTTACACTGCTAGGCGTGTAAACTTTTATTGCAACCGGGGTCTTCAAATGCAAGAGTCCATTGTAAACCACAGCTGTTGAACCGACGCCAATACGCTGCTTGATGTCAAGGACGGAGAAATCAATTATGTACTTTCGATGCATTTCAATTAGCACATGAAGTCCCTGAGATGACACACGCTCGTGAATGTTTCCTCTGCGAAAATGAGCTTGCAGACCAACTGCTCGCTGACCGAGACCACGCCAATGTTCTGTATCAGCCTTCAGCAACCGATAGACAAAGAACGGACAGAGCAATCCCCACAGTACGTGAATATAGATAAGAACAAGACCAAGATGGTTGTACCGGTTGCTAAAAGCAATGTGGAAGCCGAACTCGAGTGAGTGATACACTATCCCAAAGGCACAGTACTCGCGCAAAGTCCTTTTGCTGGCACGTGCAGGTGGACGGACAATCACGTAGACGTAAATTGGGAAGATGAGCAAGCGAATTATCACCATCAGGCAAAAGTTGGAGGTGAAAGCCTCGCCTTTGTCATTTAGAGTTGTATACCAGACGAAAGGTAATGTGTAACACGCTAAAACTGATGTAATAACAATCGATCGCACCAAAGCTGGCATCGAGACGCTTTTCTGCAGCATGAAAATCAATGCCAGCTCCAGCACAAAGTGACGACCAGCGCTTTGTGCCTCAATCGCGACGTTTCCAGCACTCGGAGCATGGAAGTGTGTTATGAGTGCGACCATAAAGTACATGGCATACGCACCCGTAGCAGCACACAAGATCCAAAGCAAAGGCTGAAATGCCGGCAATAAGGTTTTTCGTGATGCTTCACTGTCACCTTTAAGCGCAACATGGCGGTTGTGACGCATGTACACAATAAGTGCCAAAGAAAGCAACGACATTAATCCATAACTCACTAAGAGAACAACCATGAGTACCACAATTTGATGTTTGGCATAGTCGGATAGATCCATATTGTCAATTGACTTTGATTCCGAATCGCTCGATGTTGCTTGTGCCGAAAGGAGGCGATAAAACTTTTCTCGTAATAGTATGGCTTGCTCATGGAGCCCAGTCATTTCTGTTCTTGTTGAAAACTGTTTTGAAGTCACAATCCATTTGAAAGACGTATCTTCGATATATAGGTTCGGTTCACAATGGTCGCTCATATAGAAGAAAAATGGAGGTAAAGACCGTGTCGTGAGTCTATATTTCTTTTGAAGAGTCTTTGTTGATAACTACATTACGCAAGAAACGTTACAACACTAAAGATGAAGTCCGACGTGCTAGACAATTCGATATCGCAAGCAGCACCTTCGTAAGTAATGAAGACTGTTCGCCGCATGTTCTTTTAGCCAAAACATGTTTGATGTCCAAAGCCGCACTCTCCATTTATGGAGCTTCTGGGCTATTATGATGGTTGATAACATTGCGATATATACAGCTTGTTAGGCCATAGTAGCAGCTGTTCCAGGAGCCAAATCAAAACCATTGTCGTCATTTTGCAATGGCAGATCTCCCTCAACTGGCAAAGAAGCCGCCAAGATATTCAAAGCAGGCTCTGGGGCCGCTTCAAAATGCTTCTGTCGACTAAATCGAGACTTCTTGATACTAATCAGGCGCTGCCCCAATTGTCGACACCGGCACATAGGGTCATCACGCGGTCGAACGAAATTCTCAGACGATTGGATGGAACTTTGACTGGAGCCACGCGCCAGCATGGGAAGACTTGACTCAATTGACTTTCGTAGACTTATCTGTTCAAACGATACCTCACGATGGATGGTTGGTAGAATACTGTGAACATTATCACCAGAGAAGTAGTAACGCGCTGTCGAAGTATTTTCAAAACTTCTGGAGTGGTTCACGTGGTGAAGAACGCATGAGTCCATCAATGCGTTCCCCATTCGAATGGCCTCTGCCGGACACCTTACAAATCGGCGGTCGATTAGACGGTCTACGAGAAAGGATCCAGGAAAGGCCCGTGTCTCATATGCCGCCGACAGAGTATCGGATTTTTGGCTGTCGACTAATTGGCTCTTTAAATCAAGTGCCAGTTGCGAGCACAATTCCTCCTGCAAGCCTTCTAGAGTTGCAACGATTTGTTTTGCGGATGGGCGTAAACCAGGATCAAAATGCCACGAGCGCTCGATTAGGCTATGCAGCGTTGTGGGAGTGGTGCTTAATCCAGGACGCGTACCGTTCAAGATTTCTTTAATCACTTCAATCTGATCTCCGTTCGTTCGTGGAAACTTCTCCCCGTCAGGATTTAAAATGTCCCACATGGTGACAGCAAGTGAATAGACATCAGCTGCTTCTCCATGTATTTCAAAAAACGAATTTTCGAACATCTCGGGTGCTGTGTATTCTATCGTTTTCTTTTTCAGGTGCTTGCTCCATGGTAAGCCAATACAAGTCGCACTTACACCCATGGGCGAATCAATTGAAGCAAAATATTTGTCTTCAAGTATAGAGTTGGCTCCTTTTGATGCTCGCGTTTTCTGTTCCAGCTTCGTTACACACCTAGACTCGCCAAAGTTCGATAATTTTACATTGCAGGCTGCATCCACTAAAAAGCTTTTCGGTTGTATGTCACAATGAACAAAGGGGGGCGAGAAGCTATGAAGATACGCTACAGCACGAGCAGCATCCAGCATATACCCCACACTGATCAACAATTGTTGTCTAGCAGGGTAAATATTTCGTAAAAACACTTGATTCGCTAGTAAATTAGCTAAATTTCCTTGACAGAGTTGAAATACAAGGCATATTGTAGGGGGCGCTATACACATACCATGGAATCGAACGATATTAGGGTGGTTCAAAACACTGTGCATGGCCGCTTCGTGTGAGAAGGCAGCTACAACATGTTCACTGCAGCTCGTAGGTGCATACGCCTTCACGGCAACAAGCGATTTCATTTTCAGCGTTCCTTGAAAAACCACTGACGTGGAA